CTTTCCGGGGGGACGACTTCGTCCCATCCGCAGTTCAGAGACCATAGCCTTTGGATGAGGATCTTTATGGATATTACAACTGGGGCGATCCATCCCATGGGATCGAAAATTTTTGTAATCGCAGACAGGATTGTTCGTTTGGTAGATCCGAAGTTGGTTTGAATTGGAACTTGGAACTGAAAATGGTCTAACGCGGGGTTCCAGAGCAATCCTAAGACTGAGACTGTTTCGGTTGCATTCAACGATTTACTTAGAGCGAGCCCGTGATCAGTTGGATCGATATCTGATAGTAAAGTGGAGTCGTTACTTGCCCACTTTCTTAAGGAAAAGCCACCCCTTTTGAGGAGCTCTATGGTTTGGTTTCGTATGTGACGCAACGACTGAGTGGAGTCACCCCCGAAGAGGAAATCATCGACATAGGCTTGATTATCGAGGACGAAGCTAGCGTCTGGATAATTGAAGCCCTCGTCTTGATTTAATTGTTGGAGAATTCGCAGAGCTAAGTATGGGGCTGAAGTGGTCCCGTAGGTGACTGTAAGGAGTTGATACTCTTTCACCGGGTCGGTTTGATCGTTACGCCATAGTATGCGTTGAAAATCTCTATCTCTCGAATCGATTAGGATTTGCCGGTACATTTTGGCAATGTCGGTTGTATACACGTATTGAAATTGGCGCCAACGGACAAGGATCGCAGCAAGATCCTTTTGTAATTTTGGTCCACTCAGCAGGTGGTCATTTAAGGATTTCCCATTGGAGGTGCGCCTAGATGCGTTAAACACAACACGCAGACGCGTGGTTGCACTTGTGCTTCGAAATACGGCATGATGAGGATTATAATAAGTTGGATTATTGGATGTAATGTGAGCCTGATTGATCTCTCTCATATGGCCAAGAGACTCATACTCGGAGAGGAACTTGCAATACTCCTGATAAATGGTTTGGTTCTGATGAAGACGATTTTCTTGTGAACGAAGACTTCTTAATGCTCCTAATCGCGATTCGCCTAATTCAATGGGTGGGTCGGTTTTGAATGGTAACCGCACGACATAGCGGCCCTCGGGTGTCCGCGTATGCGTTTCTTTGAAATGACTTTCGCATTTTTGTTCCTCAGGTGTCAACATAACCGTGCTAGGAAGGTCCTCGAGTTCCCAGAAACGCTTGAGATTTTGATCGAGAGCTTCGAGAAGCGAGATGTGGTGGATATTGACTGAGGACATGGGAAATTCGGCCGGAAGAGGACCGGATAAGATCCAACCCAGGGTTGTGTGTTGGGCTGTAGGTGTACATGCTGAGCCCTGCCTTACCTCGTGCAGCAAAAGCTGTCCATAAATAACCGCTCCGATAATAAGATCAATGGGATCAGAGCTCATGGGGTCCTCGTCTGCTAGTTTCAATCCTGAAAGGTGAGAGAGAGTAGCGATTGAATTATTTCGCGATGGAACGTACCTCGTTAATGCGGTCATGAGAATCGCGGTTGTCGAATATGCAGGCTCGTTTTTCGTCGCAGGGGTGATGAGAATGTCGGCGACATGGCGTGCGACTGATTGAATTTAGCCAATTCCAGTGATCTGGGTGGTTTGCCGTACTCGTTCGAGGCGAAGTGATTGCGCTAGATGTTCGGGAATGAGCGTTGCCGCTGATCCTTGGTCGAGCAACGCTCTTGCAATGACGCATCGACCTGCGAGTGAATGCACTCGTACCCTTGCTGTTGAAAGGAGTATTCTAGAGTGAATAGGTGATTTAAATGCGAAATTAGAACTTATCTCTACTCCTTCTTCCGGAGTGTTGGAACTCGTTCCTGATGGTGTGGCGCGGGCTTCGTTGCTGGTGCGAAAATGCAGCAACGTGTGGTGCTTTTGTTGACACTCCTTACAATGATGAGTACTCGTGCATTGCGCTGCTGCGTGTTTGACCGAGAAGCAATTCACGCATCGTTTTTGTTGTTTTAAAATATTGTACCGCTCGGATGGTGTTTTCGCTAAAAAGGTTGGACATTGATAAAATAAATGATTTTGTTTACTAACTACGCATAAAATTTTGTACGTTGTGGTAGAATTAATTGATAATGGTTTCAGTTTAAGTTGTTTGACTTTATCTGACTCGTTTGGTTTCTCGCGTTTACTTGTTGGCAACGCTTCTAACGTTCGGATTCTTTTCTCTAAGAACGTATCGAATTCTTCGTAGGTCGGAAACTCTGTGGAATCACCGAGATTAAACTCCCACGCTTTACGTGACGCGCGATCCAATTTTTGAGAGCCTAAAAATACAATAATATCGCTCCACGCTTCTATTGGGCGTTGAAGGTTTCGTAACATTTGAATTGATATATTTATGTTATCCCGTAACGATCGGAGTTCCGAAGGAGTTTCGGATGAAACGGTCGGTAAAGAAAACAATGTATTTAAATGGGTTGAGACTAACCGACGCTTGTTGTCATACCGTGATGTTATTATTTGCCATGCTACTTCGAAATTATTTTCTGTTACAGGTAGATGACTCACCGCTCGGCTAGCGTCGCCCTTCAGCGACGAACACAAAAAATGTAGGCGATCGACGTTGGACAACGTGTCATTGTTTATTACCATGGATGTGAAGCGGTCGCGGAACGACTCCCACTCTTCGAAGGCTCCCTCGAAGGTCGGAAGGTGAATCCTCGGTAGGTGAGTTGCTGGTGGTCGTGACGTCATCGAATTTGAAAAGCTGCCGTTGGGAGTAGAATTTTCAGGCGGAGGAGAAACCTTGTAAAGGGTTTCGGCCATGAAGTCCTGGGCTTCTTGATAGCGCTCTTCACAGATTGAAAATTGGTCCTCCACGAAGTAGGATGCACTGGTTTTCGTTCTTGGGTCCGCATTTGCAGCGATTTTTGCGTGCAGATCCTGGCATTGTAAAAATGCTTCTTTCAGCATTGCCATCCGGTTCTGTGTGGTAGCTGCAGTCATTTTTGATTGACCCAGCTTTTTAAAATTGGCGAGCGCTCGTTCTATTGAACACATCGTCTGTGTTTGTTTTTGGATCAGTTCTTCTAACGAACTCATGGTCGTTAACGGTTTGAATTCTGATTACAGATCTGTGTTTTACCAGCTTCCTTTTCCTCGACTCCAATCCGGCTCGAAGGACCAACAATGATTGTATCACGCGGGTCTTGCGTGGGTGGGCTGGCTGCCCTTATCAAAAGACTGAAGATCGAGGAGAATTTGATAGACGATTCACTTATTGTAAACACAGATTTGATTTATTCACACTATGTATGACACAACCACACACGAACAACAAATAAAAGGATGAAAATTACAAGTTGATAATTAATGAATTGATGCGATGAGTGAACGATAGATTTGGCTAATTTTCGGTTGACGGTTTGGCTCGGTGTTATTTCGGTGCTCGTTAACGAACGAATGATCGTTTGATTTGCGCGATCGATTTTCTAGCGCACGTGACGCGAGTGCGCATGAGCGAATTATGGATGAGCGTTGTCGACGGTTCGCGTAGATCCCTAGGAGGATCCCTACTTTATCCGTAACAGACACATTAATGTTGGATTTTACTCCTTAACCGCACACCACGCGAACCTATAATCTCTATTTTCGTTCATACGAGTCGCCTTCTTGGGGAACCGCTCTCCCTATACGTCGGTGCAGTGACGTACCTATCATTGGGTCGTTACATTGGACTCCATAGAAGAAGTAAACACCGGCAAACACTAAACGAGGAAATAAATCTTCAGCGAAAGAAATATCGGTGGCAGGATGAAGATATGCGTCGTATAGCCAATATTGAAGCGTTAAATTTGGGATATATCAAAATAAATGAACTTATACACACAACCCTTAAGTTCACTACCGCACGCACAATTGAATCTATTAAAAGCCTCAGAAAAACATCTGCATATCGCGATATTCTTAACCAGCTAGTCGAATCTAACCGCGATCAAAGTCCCGCTGAATTAATGACAGAATCATCAGCTCAAATTCTCGATATAGAGCCGCCTAATACCAGTAATGAACTTCCAGCGGATTTAGATCAATCCTCCTCTACTCTTGATGTAGAATGTGAGTGCCTTAATTGGTTTAAAGCAGCGTTGCAATACTTATCCTCGTCTAGATGTACTGAAGTAGCAAAAGAAAACCTTGTCGAAGCAATTGAACGCTCTGTAGTACACGACGACCCTTCAGATCTTTTAACCAGCTGGTTTCATTGTCGTTTCCCTCCAAGGCAGCACACACGCAGACAGAACTCCGATAGGAATTCTACGCAAAGGAAACTATCCAGGAAACAACATAGGCGACTCATGTATGCCAATATTCAGACCTTATGGCGCAAAAATCAATCTAAGGCGGTGAGTAAAATACTTGATGATGACAATGATACCTCTGTTCATTTACCCTTGGAGGCTCAGGAGAAATACTGGCGTCCGCTGTTTGAATCTGAAAGCAAAGGTGTTGCGCGTAGAGTATTAATTTTTGCTCTAGGCAAGAACGTCGGTTAATTTTGTAAGGAAAAGGGTGCAGGGAAATGAATTAAATTGACACCTTTAATAATTACGTTAGTAAATAAGTATTCTTTAATTAGTAAAGAATAATGTTGCGAATTAGTCGCGTGTTACGGGTCGTTTATTTGAAAAGCGCAAACGAAGTAGGACGTTTGTCGCGGCGTCGGTGTTTTTATAAGTCCTTCGACCGACGACAACGCCGAGCCGATGGTGTTGTCGAGCACTAATTAGATAAATCTTTAAATTGTGGCGCTCGAAATCCGGAACATACCGCCCGCCTCGCGGCGCCGTGCGACCGCGACAAATGACGTCACGATTCTACGCCGTGAATGAAGCGTAGTGACGAGCTCGTTCCATTAACGTGTCGTGCCAGGCTGCGTAGTTCTTATTAAGGTAGGTAATGAACCGAATTTTTTACATCGAACATACGTGCGTAAGCGATAAATATACGCGTAAAGAACGTTGTGAATGTACATGGTAGAATATATGATACATTGCCTTAAACTAAATCTTATGAGCTAATCGGTAGTTTGCATAGGTTAACTACAGGACGGGTATATTCCGATCGTGCGGTCTTGATACTGACCACTCGCACGAGGCCGTCCTTACCAGGGTGACATTTGGTCACCCGACCGAGGTCCCATTTGCCCGGAGGAAGCGTGGAGCTCTTCAGCAGTACCAAGTCCCCGATTTTAAGGTTAGTGGCGCGACTACACCACTTCGAGCGAGCTTGTAACGATTGCAGATATTCGTGAGCCCATGCTTTCCAGAATTTTTCGGTGAGTTGTTGCACCCATTGCCAGCGCGATAATCTGTTTTCGGTAATGTCTATTACAGACGGCGCAGGAGGGACCTTGAGCACACCGCCCACTAGAAAATGCCCGGGTGTGAGGGCCTCGCAGGACTCGAGGTCGTCCTTCAATGGAGCTAAGGGACGAGAGTTTAAACAGGCCTCGATTTGACAGAGGAGTGTATTGAACTCCTCACATGTGGGCGTACGATCGCACAACATGCGTCGCAAGTGCGTCTTGACGCTCTTGACGCCCGCTTCCCAGATTCCCCCAAAATGAGGCGAGGAGGGAGGAATGAAATGCCACGTGATGTGATCTGCAGCAAACAGCGCACGAAGGTGAGAATCGGCAGTAACTAGTTTAAAAGCCGCTCTTAACTCTTTATTTGCGCCTTGGAATTCCGTTCCGTTATCGCTGTATAACTTTGTAGGTAGGCCGCGACGAGCAGTGAATCGGTTAAATGCCGCTAAAAACGCCGCGGTGGAGTAGTCGCGCACCAACTCCAGATGGATCGCCCGCGTGGATAGGCAAATAAACAATGCGATGTACACCTTGTGCGCCTTTTGCCCGCGTCCGCGGTGCGCGAGGGCGGAGAATGGTCCCGCATAGGCCACTCCGCAATGAGCAAACGGCCGAGCTGGAGTGACCCTAGCTGTAGGTAAGTCACTCATTTGCTGACGAACTGTGGCTGCGCGCCAACGCACGCATCTAATACACTTATATATGTGACTCTTAACTAGGCGCCGCGCGTTAATAACTCAGTAAGTTCGTCGCAAAACGCTTAACGTTAGTTGAATGCCTCCGTGTAACGTGTTCGCGTGGCAATCTGCTATAATGAGTTCTGTGACTCTATGCACCGGTAAAACTACCCGAAACCGTTCCATAAGGTCGGAGTTGCGCAACCGCCCGCCAACACGAATAGTGCCATCTTCGTCCAAAAAGGGGTTCAGTCGAAATAATGGACTCGATTTAGCAAGAGACTCGCTCTTTTTCAAGGCCTTTATTTCGTTGCGAAATGAACGCGCTTGAACTTGTTGAACCCAGAATTTCCGCGACGCGACGAGTTCGTTGGTAGTGACGACCGTATCTTGATGGTCGTGTTTCCCCGTTTTAACTCGCAAAATGAAACGTGTGACGTACGCGGTAATTCGGAGGAGTTTTTGCCACGAGGATGTGCGTGTTGGCAGATCCCACTCAGTCTCCGACTCCACATGCAATGCATTGATCTGGTTTTTGATTTCAGCCTCAGCTTCCCTCGGGACGACAGGCCTAAATTCTGGCCACTCATTAGGAGTTTGCGCCAGCCAGGCAGGACCGTGCCACCAAAGGGGGTGGTGAAGCAGTAGTTTCACCGACAACCCGCGGGACGCACAATCGGCGGGATTACAACCGGTTGGTACGTGTCGCCAAGAAGCATTCGGCGCTCGGCTTTGTATTTCCGCGACGCGGTGTGCCGTAAACGTTTTTAATTGACTCGGATGTCTATGTATCCAAGCTAATGCAACGGTGGAATCAGTCCAACCGTAGACCGGTACGTTATCGAGTTTTAATGTAGCCTGAACCTGCTCGATCAATCGCGTCATTAGGACGCACGCGCATAATTCTAACCGCGGAATTGTGAGTGGTTTCAACGGTGCTACCTTTGTCTTCGCCATAAGTAAATGTAACGCAACCTCGTCCGCGATGGAGATTGTTCGCAAATAAATTACCGCCGCATAGGCGTCTTGCGAAGCGTCTGCAAACCCGTGTATTTCGTACGCGATTGTAGCATTTCCCATCCTAATCCAGCGCGGAAGGGTTACTTTTGGTAAATCTTTGAGCTCCGCGGAATATTCGCGCCATTGGTTGGTCAATTCGCAAGGTAGAGATTCGTCCCAGTCTAACTTGGCCACCCACAACCTTTGCATGAAGATCTTGGCCACGATGACGACGGGAGAAATCCACCCCAATGGGTCAAAGATTCGCGCGATATTCGATAAAACCACGCGCTTAGTCGGATTCGCCGTACTAGCGGAGTCGAACTTAAATTGAAATCGAAATTCGTCCGATTTAGGTAGCCAGCGGATTCCTAGCATCTTTAATCCCTCGGCATCTTGAAATAAGCGGCTCGAGGCCAGCTCGTGATCAGCGTGGGAGATCTCCGTTAATAACTGTGGACAATTGCTTGACCACTTTCTTAGATGGAAACCTCCGCGTCTGAGGGCATCCGTTACCTGCTGCCGTGTTTGACGAGCCAGCACTCGATCATCGGCCCCGAAAAGCGCGTCATCAACGTAGAGATGCTCATTCAGGATAGGAGCCGCGAGAGGGAAATTAGTCCCCTCATCCAGCGCGAGTTGTTTGATGACCCGATTCGCGAGAAAGGGCGCTGGGGCCGTCCCGTATGTCACGGTAAGTAATTCATAGGTTTTAAGCTGATCGTCGGGTTTAGCGCGCCAAACGATCAACTGGTAGGCGATGTCACGATGGTCAATCCAGATTTGCCGGAACATTTTCGCGATATCTGCCGCGAACACGAACTGATACATGCGCCATCGTAAAATCGTGACCGCGAGGTCAGCTTGCAATTTCGGACCAACCAGTAAATGATCGTTTAGCGTAGACCCGTTCGACGTAGGCATCGACGCGTTAAAAACCACTCTCAATTTTGTCGTACTACTGTCTTGACGAATGACCGGATGATGCGACAAATAGACCTTTTGCTCCAAAGGAGGGTCTGATTCAAGAAATTCCCGCATGTGACCGAGCCGCAGGTATTCCTCCAGAAAAGAGTGATAAGCCGTAGCTTGTTCCGCGTCTTTGGCGAGCCGTTTCTCCAATCTATAAAAGGAGGCTACCGCGATTCCTTTCGAAGCCCCGATATCGATGGGAGGCTCTGATTTAAACGGCAATCGCGCTACGTATTTCCCGTCAGGTTTACGCGAGTAAGTCCGCCGAAAGTGATCTTCACATTGTTTGTCCTCTTCGGAGAGGAACGTTACCGGTGGAGGCGCTTCCACCTCCCAAAACTTCCTTAACGTATTGTTTATTTCTGTGTTAAGGTCGCCGTAGTGCACGCGGAGTTGCATTGCATGAGACTCAATGAACCGGGCGGGACCGGTCAACACCCAACCGAAAATCGTTTTCTGCGCGACGGGTTCTGAGGGAAGGCCCTTTCGAAGACCGTCGAGCAAGATCGCACCATAATTATCCGCGCCGATTATGAGGTCCACGGGTGCTTTATTATTCGTGAGAGGATCGGCCCACTCCAGACCACGTAAGTGTATCCATTTACTCGAGGCGTCTATTGAGTTTGAGCGGTAATTAGTGAGCCGTTTTAGAATAAGAGCGCGCACTGGAATGACGGGCCCTTTTCCGTGGCACGGTTCAATTGTGACGTTCGCGGAGGCGCGGACCGTGGCGACGTCCCGGCCCCAATACCGGAGACGGAAGCTTGGACGTGTTGGTGACTAGCGCGCAACGCGTTTGCAACATTTTCACGAATGAACGTTGCTTCCGACCCTGGATCAATTAAAGCGCGTAATGTCGCTTGTCGGCCTTCACGAGTACCGACTTTGATCCAAGCTGTAGCGAGAACGACCTTTTTTTCATGACGCGACGTACCGAAGTGCGTGTTTACCGAAGTCGACATCGTCGTGTCTTCTATGTTATTATCCGCTACGTATGTAGGTTGCGCCGAATGTTGACCGGATTCTGAATCCGCGTGAGAGGTCGATTCGCGACCTTTGCTTACGGACGACGTCTTCGAACCCTTTCGCTCGGAATGCAAAAGAGTGTGATGTTTGCCTTTACATATCGAACAAGTGCGTTTGCTAGGACAGGCGGCCGGAAGATGCCCTTTTTGTAAACAATTAAAACATCGATGATGTTCGCGCGCGAGTGATAATCGTTGTTCGACGGATTGCCCACGGAACACGTCACATCTAAACAACGCGTGATCGGCGCCGCACGCGACGCATTTCGTTTCCGCCGCGTTCAAATGCGCTTTCACGGTTTTAATAGGCGCTGATTTGTTTTTACAGGCGCTGTATCCTTCTCCGCGGGATGACGCCAACGATTCCAGAGTGCGAATTCGCACATTGAGGAACGCCTCCCAATCCGCGAGGGATGGGAACAATTCCTCTTCACCCATGCGCAACTCCCACTCCCGATGGGACTCCTTGTTCAACTTGCGGACAAAGTGAAAAACAAGAACATCGTCCCAGTATTCGACCGGACGAGCCATATTTTTTAAGGCCGTTAAAGCGGCGCGAGATCTATCGCGTAAACTTTTTAAATCGCTTAAGACAGCGGATCCAATCGGGGGTGAGTCGAACAACATTTTCAGGTGAGCGGTTATGAGCGCGCGTTCGTTCGCGTATCTGTCGGTCAATAGTTTCCACGCTGCCTCGTAATTCGCCGCGGAAGTGGAAACGTTCTTTAATAGAAGAGACGCTTCACCAATTAAACTTAATTTAAGATAGTGCAACTTTTGCACCTCCGGTAACGCGTCATTTGAGCCGACTAAAGACTGAAAGAGGTCTCGAAAATTCTCCCATTCCGTATAGTCCCCGGAGAATTTAGGCAATTCGACCCGAGGAAGCTTGACCGACAGAGCAGTTTCGCGATTACAAGAAGCGGTACTCGTATTACATGAGTTACTTGCAGGTTCGGAGTCCGTCGGTAAGGCTGCCGTCATAGCGTCGAGGGCGGCGAGAAAGGCCGCCTCCGTATCCCCGAAGACGTCGCTGGAGAAGTAGGGATTCGCCCTGGTGTCCTCCTCCGATGCAGCAACCTCGATCTGGATTTGCGTGGATTGGAATTTGGCCCAGTAATCCTTAAGCAGGTTGATACGGCTGCGAATCACTGCAGGCGTGTGATTCTGCTTCCCCAGTTTTTTAAAGTTGAGAAGTGCATTGTTGATAAGCCGGGCATGCACTTTATTTTCGCGGATTAATGTATCCATAATGTTTTGGTGTGAAGTGTTTCAAATAAACGTACTGTACCAGCAAGGTGAACTGTTATAACCACGTCACTGTTTTCGCGAAGCGAAGCGCGTGAACGTCCTCTAATGTTTACCGGCGAAGGTCGCGATGTCGGTTAAGTTCGAACGACACGTGCAAAATGCTTTGTTCTGCCGATTTAATCCGGCTTAGATTTTTGCACTTTCGCGAATTTTAATGTTCACCGCACGATTAAATTGTTTTTATGCGACACTGCACTGCTTTATATCCTTACAATCCGGCTCGAAGGACCATTTGTTGCGCGTAGAGTATTAATTTTTGCTCTAGGCAAGAACGCCGGTTAATTTTGTAAGGAAAAGGGTGCAGGGAAATGAATTAAATTGACACCTTTAATAATTACGTTAGTAAATAAGTATTCTTTAATTAGTAAAGAATAATGTTGCGAATTAGTCGCGTGTTACGGGTCGTTTGTTTGAAGAGCGCAAACGAAGTAGGACGTTTGTCGCGGCGTCGGTGTTTTTATAAGTCCTTCGACCGACGACAACGCCGAGCCGATGGTGTTGTCGAGCACTAATTAGATAAATCTTTAAATTGTGGCGCTCGAAACCCGGAACAAAAGGATTTTATGATAACTTTATGGAACCTAGTCAATCTGATGAAAATAACGACTTGTTGTTACCTATTACCACGGACGAAGTACGCAACCACAAGCCTGATGCTCGTTCTGC